CGGAAAACCTGCGGCTCCAACGCGACAGGGATGCGGTTTAGGAGCGGTTGCGCGACCCAGGAGTCCTCGGCGTTTACCTGGTGCTCAATTATGCCGACACCTTCCCGCCTCACAGTGCCCACGGCGCAGAGAGGTCTGGCGGCTCTGAGTTCCACGGGCCGCCTGTAGCTGAAAACCCACTACCGCTTTCTTTGGACCAGGAGTGAGGAGGGTGGACGAGAGGGATGGTCCCAAAGGTTTGCATTGTTGGCAGATGGGGGAAGAGGGGACCTCTGGTCCCAGATCCGTTCTGTGTCTAAGTCCACTGATCGCGCCTCCTTTCCGGCTCCATTAGCACCCGAAGAACCCCGACTGCTGGCCCATCTCCTGCCCTCTAGATGGTGGCTTTCAGGACCCAAGTTTAGCGGTGCCCTGGGGAGTGAAATAACCGAATAACCGCCTAGGGAGACCTGGTCCAAACACGGAACATTTGAGGCACCAAACAGCAGAATGGCCTGCTATCTAAATCACCCAGATAACTCTCTCTCTCTCTCTCTCTCTCTCTCTCTCTCTCTCTCTCTCTCTCTCCTCTTTTTGTCCCTGAAGATCTACTTAGAGACACTGAGGTGGTGCTTTGTCTTAAAGTGACCACAATAAGCCGCGGTTTGGGGGCTTGGCTGATCAGCTTACTCTAGGCAACGGCCAAAGTCACAGCCTGGCCCAGCGCTCAACTCAGTCCTATGTGTTGGAACCTAGTTCCAACCCTGACCTCCTCTTGGGCCGGGCCAGCCAAGTGGTTGGTTTCTGGTAAGGAGGAAAAGGTTCCGATTCTTCCCTCTCCGACAGCTTGGTGAGTTCAGAGGCCTGGATGGAACCACCCAACAAAGTGCCTTCTCTTTAAAAAATCAAGTGTGCCTTGCAGGATAAATTCAGAGCATAACATCAGGGCTGTGGATTGATTCATAATCTAAATTCGCCCTCATCTGAAAACCAGAAGCACCTCTACGGTGGAGTCTTGCTATGTAGATGCATCCTAAGAAGTGGCTTTTGCCTCGAACTCCCTGGGATTCAGACACACCCTCCCTCTCCCTGAGCATTCAAACCCAGAAGCCTCCCGCAGGCCCCTCCCCACAGCTCCGGTCTTCCCACAGCCATAGCCCCTCTCCTGCCGCCAGCTGGCGTTTGTATCAAGATCCACATGGCTTGGGGTCTCCAACTTGCCTGCTCACTTTTGTGTAACAGGCAGGATTAGAAGCGAAGGGAGAAAGGAGTGTGATAAATGTGTTATCTTCTCTAATGGTAGGAGTAAGAAAGTGGAAGGACCTCAAGATTTCACGGCAGGAGGCGTGGCTGTGATTGGCAGGCAGCACTGAGGGTAGAGAAAGAATTTGAAGGAGCCTCCCCTGCCTGGAGTCAGACTGCTGGAAGGGATGGCTGGGGAGGGAGGGTGGGGGGATTTGGAGCAGAGGCAAAGGGAGGGGGAGCAGCGTACGCCCAGGGAAGTTGGGGAGGTGGAGGTGCCTACAGCCTCTGGACACAGCTGCTGCCGAACACTGGCCTGGATCTGGGTCTCTTTCAGGAATGGCCCGAGGGGGTCGCTGGCTTCCAGAGAGGAGCCTGTTGCAGCAACTCCAAGGGCTCTACACTCCCTTCCTGGTTACTTTGCCATGCATACAAGTCCCATCACAAGGATTAAGGATCACAGAGGTTGAAGTTCTGGACTCAACTATTCCTGACCCACCTCACCCCTCCACCTTCCCACCTACCCAGGGCACCAGGACACTGTCTCTGTGTCCCAGCTCTGACTACTGGTGTCCCTACCCAGGTTTTTTTTGTTTGTTTGTTTTTGTTTTTGTTTTTTTTTTTTTAATAGCAAAGTCAGATATACAGAGAGGAGGAAAGACAGACAGGAAGATGATTGACTCCCCAAGTGACTGCACTGGCTGGTGCAGCGCTGATCTGAAGCCAGGATCCAGTAACTTCTTCCAGGTCTCCTCCCACATGGGTGCAGGGTCCCAAGGCTTTGGACTGTCCTGGACTGCTTCCCCAGGCCACAAGCAGGGAGCTGGACGGGAAGTGGGACTGCCGAGATTAGAACCAGTGTCCACATGGGATCCCGGCGCGTTCAAGGCAAGGATTTTAGCCGCTAGACCACCCGTGCCAGACCCCCTAGCCCAGTTTTGTTTGTCACTTTCCTGTAGCTGCTTTCTGCCTCCTCCAGGCTGTCCACATAGATTTTTCTAAACCAATGGCTCCTTTAAAATACCCCATCTTCCTTCCTCTTCATGCACTTTCCCAATTTTCTCCTGGCCATCACTGCTTGGGGCTGAGCTAGGAGATGGGGACAGCACACCCACACATCTTGGTGGTTTGAATATTTTTTGTCACTCCTGCCAACTAGTCTACTTTTTCTTTTTCTTTTTTCTTTTTTTTATCATGCAGGTATTACTTTTATCATCTGCCTGAGCTGCAGTTAAGGGTTAGGAGCATCAAGGGGGCTGAGGTCTTCATTCTTTCTGTGTGAGGGGTGGGGGCCCCAGTTTTAAAAATCATTCTCAAAAATCACATCGTCATAAGCCAATTTTAATTATTATTAACATGATGAAGCAACTTCAGACACGGCTCATCTAAAGGGAAAAAACGTGCTACAGACAGACGTCGGAATCTGGGGCTACACCACAGAGAGCGAGAAAGGAAGGTCGGGGCACTGTCCTTGGGGCCACACTAGGAGCAGCAACAGACACACACAACAGGACACAGGTTGACAGAGAAGCTCCTAGAGTCAGGTCAAAGTGAAGGGAAGAGAATATTGCATATCTTTGTCCTCTACTGCTTCAGAAGTATTAATGTGTCTCTTGTCTGGTAGGTTCTGGGAGTCATACCTAGATGGTAGAGTTTAAATTCAGCACCCTAGAGCTCACACAGCCCAGGAGGAAGGGCAGCGCATGAAGGGGTAAGGTAGATAGAGGGGTGTTCAGGCCAGTAGGGGGAAGGGGATCGTAGCTCATACCCAGGACCAGTCAGCGAACATGGAAGCCATGGCTAAGACTCACAAGAAGGTGACACAAGTGCACATGGGTGGGGAAGGGTGGTTGGTACTGGGAGGACATGGAGATGCATCACTGGGGTGAGGGGGGGTTCTGCAGGGCTCCCTCCAGTGGGTGGGAGAAACTGTGAGGCTATCTGGGTGCCAGGGAGTGCAGTGGGAAGACTGGGATGCACTCAGGGCCTCCGTTGGCTCTGCCAACCTGTGTGTGTATTCCTCTGCACACACAGCAGCGTTCAGGGACTTGAAGTTGTGTGTTGGTGGGTGGAAGAATGGGGGAGTGCATTGCGGATTGTCGTTTGAGAGTATGGGGAGCGCCCTTACTCACCCCCTTTCCCCCCCCCCCCGAAGTAGATCAGTTGCAGTGTTCAGGCTGCACTAGGCCTGAGTTTGTCCCAATCTTTTTCAGGCCTGTTACTTGGGGAAGGGGTAGTGAGTGAGAGAGCATCGCCCATGGAAGGCTGCAGTCCTGGTGGGAAAAGGGGACCAAAACGGCGTGCAGGAGGTTGGTGGGCTTTCTCATGGATCCCCTCTCTCCTTTGGAAGCCAGCCCAGGATCCACTGGGAAGGGTTCAGAGCATGAAGGGGGCAGGGGAAGTCTACGGATAAAAGGCCTTCCGGCGTGGAGATACCGCTGCCGCTGTGTGGCCTCCAACCGGCACCAGCAATGCGTCCCCTCCCTCTGCTGTCCTCAGGCTTATGCTGGGCGGAAGGCGAAGGCAGCAGGACCAGAAACAAAGGACGTTGTTGCAGCAGGACGGGTGGGGAACTGCAGCGCCCCCCTCCTTCATTGTCACCAGTTTGGAAAAACCGGGGCTGAACCGGGGGGGCCTCCGTGGTTAGCCCCTTTAAGGGCAGATTCTTCTCTCGCCTCGTAAATTACGCTGTCCAGCTCCGGCCGGCCATGACCGTGAACGCCAGCGGCGAAGGGAGAATCCAGGAGGCCGCCGCCTGCCAGCGGCTGCTACAAACTCTCCCTGTCAATCAGGGCGGCGTGCAAACAGGGCCTCTTCTGCAATCCCGCAGGACTTCCTGGAGGGGCCAGCTGGGGCTGGCGGGGTGCCTACCGGCCCCAAGGTAGCTTGGGCTCGCCCTTGCTTCCTGCTATGGCTCTGGCCCCAAAGCCGGTGCTGGCGGAGGAGGCTGCAGCAGGGACAGGCAGAGCTCGTGGTATATCACACCTGTGAGTGGTGTTCGCCCAGCGCGGGCAGAGGGAACTTGGGATTGCACTGGGGTGGGGGATTCAGAGGGATTTTCAGCACTTAGCCCTAGAGGGGAAGCAAGGCTGCTGCTGACCTAGTCTGCAGCCTAACGCTGTATCTCAGCCCCCTGTATCTAGACCTGGAGGCCTCCCGGACCTGTCCCATTTCTGGATTCTGAGCAGGGCTGACCCCCAACTCTCCCAGCACCCTCTACACCCAGCCTCACCCCTTTCTCTCCTGCTGATGTCTCAGAGCTCTTGCCCCTACCTCCCTTCCAAGTTCTCCATACCGTACTACAGCAGGAGTTTGGGTGACTGGGTTTTACCATCTTCCACCCTTGTCTGCTCTCCCAAGTTAGAAAATCAGGCGCTGGAAGGCAAGTGGAGAAAGGGGTGGGGGGGTGGGGTGGCGTCTGAGGCCTCTCCAGACCCTGGTTGCAGAATTCCCACTCACTCACCCACCAGCAAAGCAAGCAGCCCCTTCCCAGCTTCTCCTCCTGGCCTGCCCCTACCACCTGCCACAGCTTGTGGGCCTCGGCTCTCTCTCCTTCTTCTTTCCTTCTCTTGGAGACCTGGCAGGGCCTGCTGTGGGGGTGTGGGAGGGAGCCAGGAACAAAAACAGATCAGAGGACATCCAGGGAGGGCCTGCCAGAGACCTGGGTGTTCTAAGCAGGTGGACTGGGTCCCAGACAGCACCCCTCACCTTTGCTCCCTGCCCAGGGACAGGCTCAGTCTGGGGTTGGCACCCTGTGCCGCTTGCCCCCTTCCCCTTCCTTAAAAGAAGGAGAGGGCTTGCTCTCTTAACAGAAGTCTTTTCTTCTTCATTCTCCGATTCTGAAACCAAATCTTGACTTGCTGGTCACTAAGATTCAAGCGGTCCGAGAGTTCCCTCCGGCGCTGGCGCGTGATGAACTCGTTGACCAAAAACTCGCCCTCCAGCTCGGCCAGTTGCAGCTTTGAGTAGGGCTTGCGCTTCTTCCGTGAGCGGCTGTGGATCGGGTACCAGGGCGCGCCTGGGTGGAGAGGAACCGGACGCGTTGGCCAGAGAGGATCAAGGGGTGACCAGCCCAGCACCCTGCGCCCTGTGTCCTTCCCCAGGCCCTTTCCCCCTGGCCCTCAGTCTCCTGGCCAGCAAGGCACCCCAGGCAGCTTCCCCACCCACAGCTTCATCCTCTCCCAGAGCTCCTTGCTTTCCTACTTTGGCCACTACACACCACTTCCTGCTGCCAGGAAGGATGACCTGCCAGTCTTCCACCACTTCTCTCCTCGTCCTGCTCTCGCCCTTATTTCCTTCTTTCCTACTTTCCAGCCCTGTCTTCCTCCATCCTTCATGGCTGGATCCGCAAACAGTTTGACCCCAGCGTCAGCAAGTGGTAGAAGTTCCCTAGTTCTGGAGCTTTCTCCAAAGTGTAGGTGATAGGGGACTTGTGCAAAGACCCATGGAGGGAGAGCAAGTGTCCCAGGGAAAGGCTCTGGGTCCTTTCTCCCTTCGCCCCAAGTCTTGGAGAAACCCCCAGTTAAGGATACCCCTTCTCAGCAGCCCCAAGCCAGGGGAAAAAGGAAATCTCTCCAATTCTTTTTTTTTTTTTTAATGGGGGACATTTGCATGTTTATAGGGCTCAACGAACCACCCGCACATCTTTTGAAAAGAAATGACGGCTTTGCACTCACTCTGTCGCCCCAGGAGGCCCTCGCCCTGTCCCTACCGGCCGGGCCGCCTGCTTGGTGAGCAGCCCGATTTCAAACCAGCGCACGACTTCTGACCGAGGTCCTTACCGCTGGCCGAGAGCCCGCCGCCCGGGTTCAACGGCGACACCAAGCCGCCGGGGTCGCCCGCGCCGGCGCCCTTGTTGCCCTCGTTGAGCAGGGATGAACTCGAGTCGGATTCCAGCGACTGGCACGACGGCGGGTCGTGCGGGGGTCCCGTGCCGCCGTCGCCGCCTCCTGCCCCGTAGTCGTACTTGAAGCCGAGCGCGGGCGGCCCCGACGGCTCGAGCGGCAGCAGCGCCGCCCCGGGTCCGGCGCCCGGGTCGCGCCCGCGTTCCTCGCGCTTCAGGGCGCTGCCACCGGCGCCCTCGGCGCACGGCTCCCGGTAGTAAGCCTTGCTGTCCTCCACGCGCGCCAGCTCGCACGTGCGGCCGAAGGGCGGGTTGAGTGACACGGGGCTGCCGAGGTAGGGCTGCGGGTAGCCATTGCACGGCTCAGCCGACGGCCAGGGCAGCGAGCACACGTTGTCGCGGCGCGGGTAGGACAGCGAAGGCAGCCCGGGCAGCTGCGCCCCGGACGCGCGAAAGTTGGGGAAGTAGAAGGTGTCTCCCGTGTGGATGTTCACCAGCGGCCCCACAAAACCGGGATTCAAGAGATTATGCTCTCCCATTTCCGCGGGGCCCGGCCGGCAGCTTCTACTTTATTGCTATCTGACATTAAACATAGTTAAACCTGTGCCGGTCACCCATTGGCCGCCCTGCTCACGTGGGTGCGGCCGCCAGGGGGAGGGGTGGGGACAGCGGGTCCCCCCACCCCCCGCCCTGCACCAACTCCAACTTCCCCAATCCCAGGTGGGGGCTCCGGATGGGGGTGGGGAGGGAAGGACCAAGGGCTGGGGCAGCTTTAAATTTGCTGGATTCTGTTTTTTATCTTTTTTTTTTTTTCAATCACATAAAACCAAACGCAGAGAAGTGAAGTCATCGCCCGACACGGGGCAAAAGAAAAAATGCCATGCCAAAAAAAAAAAAAAAAACCCACAAAAACCCTCCTACACTCCTACACCCCTTGCACCCCGCAGCCCTCTCCCCAGATGTATTCTCTTATCACCAACAGCTGGCCGAGCACAGCCCTTTCGTCTTTAATTAGCTCCTTTATTAACTAAAACCGTTGGAATTTACAATATCTCTCCCAATAAATTACTATTAGATATTGTGTCATATAAAGTTTACTGGCTGTTTAAGGAGACGGATGAGCCCTTGGGCTCGTCGGGGTTTATTTACAGTGGAGGGAAGAGGGGGTGAGGACAGGTTTTCCTGCGGTTCTTCCTCCCAGCCCTACCGCTGCTGCCGGGCTCTTTCTGGGCCCCTTCCCCTTAAGAATTGGGGTCCACTCTCCAGTTCTCCACCCCATTCTCAAGAAGGATTCCAGGAAACTGACTATGCCTGGTCTTCTCTCAGAGCAGATAACCACCCCAGCCTCTCACGGCATCCCTGAAGGCTGGTAAAAGGTGCATTAGACGGGTACAGAAGCAGAAAAAGGAAGCGTCCCCCAGCCCACTTATCAGCTCCTGAAAATCTGGGGGTGGGCTTGCTGCTCATCCTCTGGCTTCTAGATGGGGGACAACTAACAAGCTTCTGGGAGAGGAGGGCTTCTCAGTTTTTCTTTCTTTTTTCTTTCTTTCTTTTTAAGCAAAAAGGGACTCCAGGTTCCCAGCACGGCTTGCTTTCCTGTGGCAAAGGAGCCAGCCACCCACACCCCAAAACCGGCCCAGCCTGCCGCTGAGCTGCCCAGGGGGCAGGGGCAGTAGGTTGTCTCTTGAGGTGGGCCGGGAGCCAGAGGGTTGGGAATTTTATTTATGGTGCAAATCTGCGAAGCTTGCTGAAGACAGAGAATCTAGTACTCTGGCCACTGAGGAGGCGATCTGACATATATATAGCTCCAGAGCTCCAGAACACAGCCAAGTGGATTGAAAAAAAAGAAACAAAATAAAGCTTTCTCCCCCCCCACCAGATGCGTCTTAACCGAGTCATGAGATATATATATATATATGTATATATGTATATATCCTTTTTTTTTGAACTCCTGTGCCTCGCAGCGGCTTCAGGGATCCCAGCCACGCTCCAAATGCCAAAAGACATGGGGGGGGGGGTGGATTTAGGGAGCACAGAAGAGAGCCAGAGAAAACACGGAACGAATTCCATGGAGGTGAAAGTGAAGTATCCGAGCAAAATCTACAAGAGCATATGGAAGACGGAAGATTCACATCTCCGTCCTTTCCTCACTCTCGCCTTCGCCTCTCCAGCAGGACGCGGCAGGAAAAATAAGGCAGATTCTTGGAATTCCATTGCTCCCCTCGCGATTTCACATCCCAAGTCACAGTTGCTCGCGCCGCGCCGACAGAAACGCGTCCCCGCGGGCGTCCTGCCCGGTACGCAGCGAGCTCCCGCCCCTCGGCCCGCTTGACTGGTTCCCCTTCCCCATCCCGGCCTGCCAGGGAAGGCTCCCCCGCCAGGCCCCTGCGCCCTTAGGAGCTCGCTGTGCTCCAGGTCCACAAACCGAGACCGAGCAGGTGGGATGCCAGCTGCACGGGGCGGGGTGAGGGGGTGTGGGAGTGCGGGGACTGCACTGAGGAAAGGGCCGGAGACTCTGCCTGCACCGGCGTTTTTCTGTTTTGAATCGATGGCGGGGTTTGCGAAGCTGTGGAGGGAGAGCGGCATCTCTCGGGCTGTGAATTCCAAGCGGCAGCATCCCTAACTTGCGTATCTTCTTCTCCAGACCCGGTCCTGAGCGCCGCTGAAGAGCTTTCCTTTTGGAGGGCTTATGTTTGGTTACAAAGATAAACAGAGTGTGACTTGAGCACAATTGCTGATTGCATTCGGGATGCCGCGCCGGCAGCGGGGGCCTCCCGGGCGCAGCAGCTATTGTTGGTCAGAGCCGCACGGGGTTAGGCTGGGCCGCACAATCACTGGCCTTTTGCGGGGTGGGGTCTCCTCCTGGTACTCTTATTGCCTCCTCTCGTGGTTGGGATCTCCTAGAAGAGGGATCGCTAGCAGGGACAGCCCCAGCTTCGGTCCATCCCTCCCTAACTCGCGGGTCTCAGGGTCCTGGAGCTCCGCTGGCCGCCCTCCCTGGCCAGGCCCTGATCGCGCGCATCAGCGGCGGCCACAGGGCGGCAGATGCTGACGACAGGAGGCGGGAGGGAAGGCTTGCTTTTCCCTTACACGCATTTCTTTTTGGCCCGACTGGACTCTAGCAAAACAGGCCTTTTTTTTTTTTTCCCAGGTCTCGGATGTGGGGCTTGATCGCATGCATCAAGCCTCTTCCTTCCGTGCAGTGGACCAGGCAGCGCTGCCCAAAGCCACCCGCATCCCGTGGTCCTGCTTCCCGAGGCCCATACCGCTAATTCAGGGGTTTTCACGACCCTAATGAGGACGCAGGTGATCTAACTGGCCAGCCTCTGAGGGCACCCGCGTGGCTCAGTTCTCTACCAGGATCCCGCTGCCCACGCGACTCCAGCGTCCCTTCCCCATAACCCAAGCTGGGACAACAACCGCTGCTCCCGATCTGGGTCCCCAGGGCCGGCGGGAGACTCGGGTGCAAAGCTTCTATTCTAAATCCAGTTTCGGTGAGAACTGCTGGCGACCTGGAGCTAAGAGGCCCTCGCAGCCCACTGTACAGGGACAAGCTGCAGCTGGCCGGGCCCGTGGCAGCTGCCCTCACTGCGCGCTGTCCACACGCTGGACCCCGCGGGTCGGGCGGCAGCTTCGGAACGGCCGCGCGACCGTTGTGTCCCTGCTTTCCAGGCAGTCATGGAAAACACAGGGCGAGAGACGGAGCTGCTCTCTGGGTCCCCCGGCTCCCTCCGCAGCTGGCCGAGCTCAAACGGGCCCCCGCTCATTAACTCGAGGCTTAATTAAGGCGGAAGACTGGGGCCCAAGGTTTTCCTTGCACATCCAAGGGGACCACAGCGACTCCCCCTCCTGGCCTTCTCGGTCGGGGCCTCCATCCCTGCTAGCATCCTGGCGACTTCCGCCTCGTCGCAGCGGGAAGACCAGAATCTCAATTAGAAAATTCAGCGTCCCTGCTGGCACGGCCTAGCACCGCAAGAAGCACAAGCCGCGGGCATTCGTTACTGTTTGCCCGCCTACCCGAGGCCAGGAATCACTAGGCGCAAAGGGCTGACTTCTCCTGGGTCCGCTGAGATCCCGCAGCCGAGCTGGCCGGGGCGGCCCAGTTCAAGGTCACTGTCTAGTTTGCAGAGAGAGGGTCTGCCGCAAATGTATGCAAATGAGGCAGGGCCTGGGTCCCTGAAGGGATGTAAGTGAAAGCTGGGCCCGAAGGAGGAGGGGAGATGGAACACAGCGAAGGGATGAGGGCGGGGGTACCTCGCCTTGGAACCACCCTTGGAACCTCTGGGTGTCACCACTGCGGGGGCGGTTTAGGTTTGGGACTCATCTTTTGTCAAGTAGTGGTAGGGGGCTCATGTTTTTTCACTACTTCCCAGGCTCCCGTAGGGATCAACTCGCGCTTGACTCCCAGCCTTTGGTCCTGGATGGGTATCCGGGACCCAGGCAGCAGATTAGGAGACCGTAATCCCTGCCTTCTCTCAACGCTGCCTTCCCCAGATGCTGCTTCAGAACGACCTGCAACCTGGGGAATGGGGCTCGCTTGAGAGCTTGGGGGGGGGCAGAGTCCTGATCTGCTCGCATCCTCCCGCTGGCCCCTTTCCTCTGTCCCCTATCCTACCTGGGGGACCAATTACTTCTGGAGGGAAAAAAAAAACCGGGGTGAGAGTGAGAGTGACCAGGAGGGAGGACCGTGCGTGAGGGGATGCCTCCATCCCTTCCTTAGCATCCCCAGCTGGGCCATGCACACTCATCCCGTCTCCGTCTTTCCGGTGGCGCATTAACGGTTAAAGAGTTCCCGATGCTGACATTTTCCCCCTCCACCAGCAGAGGATCTCCTCCGCCTAGTGAATTACTGAGTGTCAGGCAAGGTGTGGGGACCAAATTAAAACACACACACACACACACACACCCAATACCTCATCCAACGCCACACCCACAGCCGCCTGCCACCTTTGCTAGAGCCCCAGGCCTGTCCTCCACGTCGTCCAAGCCGCCTGGGGGTGAGCATTACCCGCGCCCCTCGGCCCCATCTTCTCTGGCCGTGACCTTGTTGTCTGCTGGCCGCAGCACCGCTCAGCTCGCCCCGGAGAAGCGTTGGAGTCGGCTGGGGGGGCCCCGGGGTGGGGGTGTCACGGGCCGCAAGCAGATTGGGGTGTGAGCAGCCGACCCCGGGTGGGGGAGGTTCACCCCGCAAGGATGGCTGGGCGGAGAGAGTTGGCATCTACTCACCTTTGGAGACCGAAGGCGTCGAAGTGTGGGGGTGGCAGAAGTTCTCCGCCTTTAGACATCTTCCGGGGAGGGGGACGCTCCTCAAGGCCCCCCACAGTTCCAGCCTTGGCCGCCCAGGAGGGTGGGGCGCGCGAAGTGGTGGGAGAGGCCTATAGTGGCGGCGGCACGCAGGAGCTGGGCTGCTGGAGCATCTCCGGAGAGGCCGCCTTTTATGGGTGTTATTAGCGCCCCTGTCTAGACTGGAGACGACACCTCCTCAGTGCATAAACAGAGGCGACCGGCTGAAAGGGGGATTGGCGCGTCTAAGGGGGCTAGCGGCCTTCCTCCCCCACCTTGGTCCCCCGAAGATCAAGGCCTTTTCCACTACCCCCCACCCTTCCCTGCGTTCCTGATGATGTCAAGGTCAGAAAGACCTAGTCACGGTCAAGGCTAAAAGAGGAAGCGCCTGGTTGGTTGCTAAAAGGCTTGGGCGGGCGGCCTCCTCCTCCTCTCCCTTCTCCTCCTCCCCCTCCCAGAAGCCCCTGGATCTCCAGGGCCCCATCGCTCCTCCACCCTCACAGGCCTGGAGATACATCTGTCCCAGTCAGCTTTGGTGTTGTCTTATGGGAGGACTCTGGTCTTAAGGTGAGGAGATCTCCTTGGAACAGAATGCAGTAACAGAGGGAGCTGTGTGGGCAGGGCTACCCCAGGGACTTGCTTTTGCACTGCATCCCCCCTCCACCCCAAAGCCCCAAGGACGTGCTGCCCCTCTCTCATCTGCACACACTCCCCTCCTTCGCCATCTATGGTCAAACCCTCAGGAGCAGACCTGCAGAGAGAATGACTGGCCTAGTTCCTTCAGGTGCGTGTCTGTTGCTAAATGTCCTGGCTTGGAAAAAAAAAAAAATCCTAGGCTGGGAGATCGTTCAATCCTCACCTTGCAAGCACCAGAATCCCAATGTGGATGCTGGTTCTTGTCTGGCTCCTGTTTGTAGCCTGAGAGAGCAATGGAGGATGACACAAAGCTTTGGGACTCTCTACCCACATGGGAGACCCAGAAGAAACTCCTAGTCCTTGTTTTGGTTCCTGGATCAGTTCAGCTCTGGCCATTGTGTCATTTGCAGATTGAACCAGCAGATGGAAGATCTGTCTGTCTTTCCTTCTCTACCTTTCTAATAAAAATAAATAAATCTTGGGAAAAAAAATCCTTTTGGCCCTAGTCTGGAGACAGGCTGCCCTCCTCTGCCCACTCGATCCCAAGCTCCAGAGGAAAGAATCTAACAGAACCCTCCCTGGGAGCCTAAGCGAAGAGCCTCCTGCTGCCCACCCATGCAGGTGGGAGGGGGGGTGTCTTCGAGCTATAGAAAGGAGGAGCCTCCTTCCCCGTGTACACAGCCCCTCTCACCTTTCTATTCCCTGTACTCTCAGTGTTTGCGTTCACAGCCTGACTCAAGCACAAACTCTGTGAGACTGCCCTGAAACAAAAGCAGTTTGCGTAGCTGTGAGTAATGAGGAAAAATACACTCTGCAGCCCGAGGTGAGGGTGGTGGGTGGCGGCGTTCACTGACACATTTGGATCCATATTGGCAGGGCGGGAACACACACACACACATGCACACACGTGTGTTTCTTCCAAGATCCTCCTGACTGAGTCCCCCAACGCCACTGCCTACTTTGGAGGCTTAGCATAGCCGGGAAAAGTCCTTCCCTAAGCCTAGCTCCCCAGAATGTGCATTCATACCACACTTATCTGCTCTTCCAGGAGACCCAGCCACCAAGTTAACCCAGGCATGATCATCCCCACCGAACGACAGCACCCAAGAGGGTCCTAGAAAGCCCGGCCCTAGAGCAGCTGCAGTCCTGGCTGGGGTAACCTCATTCCTGAGTGGGATGCTCCCATATCCCACATTGCTTGCTTGAGGTTTCTTCTTCTCTTGTCCTTCAATTTTGGGGGGTGGGGTGGGGTGGGGATAGGAAGGTTTCCTCTGTATAGCAAAGACTCCTTCATTTGATTGTGTGTGGGATTTTGGTGTGGAAGTGGAGCGATCCCTTGGAGACCTCTGAACTTCTTGAGCACTACTGAGTCTCCAGCATGCATGCATCGTGTGTGTGTGTGTGTGTGTGTGTGTGTGTGTGTGTGTGTGTGTGTAGTGTAGCTTTGACATTAGATTTTCCAAAAGAACCCACGAGGCTGGGCAGGGGGCATGCCCAGAGAGCCTCAGGCTCATGCCCATTTAGTTTCTCTTTCTGACCACACACACACACACACACACACACACACAGAGGGAGAGGGAGAGAGAGATTGTCCAATTCTTTCTATTTCAGGGGCTATGGGGAGAGACAGTTTGGTAGAAGGGGACAGAAAATGGATAGGGCATTGAGAATGAACCTTGTTACTGGAAGGATTCCTGAACTCCCTTTTAAACCTCACTGCCCAGCTCAGTGAGCCAATCCCAGGGAGAACAGGATGGGAGGCAGTGCTTCCACCAAAACTGCTTCTTCAGGCGCTTTGCTCTTAGGCTGTGTGTGTGTGTGCGTACGTGCACATGTGTGTCCCCAGAAACATGGACTGAAATCAAATCTGAGAAGGTTCAGTTCCATCAAATAAAAGGAAGATGGAGAACTCCGACTTCCAACCTATGCCTCTCCACTCTTTCTGGGTCTCAGAGAGGAAAAGATATTATATATAAATAAAAATTGCTGCAGTAAAGATTTAATCTGTGATAACATTGTTTTAGGTTATATTGCTTTTTAAAAGTCTGTTAACCTGACAACTTAACGATCTCATTAACTGTGCCAGATAAGGAGATAGGCACAGACGTGACAAGGAAAACAAATTTGTGGCAGTGTCTGCATGGGGCTCAGGAGAGCCTGGAAAACTGGGGTTCCTCAGGGATGCTAGAGAGTAAAAGTGGGATTGGATTGGCAAACGGGAGGGGGGGGGCGGGGGGCTGGGGCTGCCAGAAGCCCCACCTCTCCGCTTAGGCTAATGGGAAGAAAAGAGTTCTCTCAGCAATGGTTGAGCAGGCTGGACAGACACCACACCAACCCCAAACAACCCCAGCCTGGCAGAAGGGATCTGGGACCCTGGGGACAGTTAGGGCTTCAGCAACATCAGGTCAGCTCCCAACACCCTACCTGGCTGCTGTCCAGCGACAGATCATTGGAGCCCAGTCAGCTGTAGTGGCAAGCAGTGGACTTGTCTCACTCACCTGGACTCCAGGCCGATGCAGCTTCCCTCCCTCAACAGACTCACATCTAAACTGGGTATTGGAAGGAAAGAGTTCCCCACACCTACTTGGTGAAGCTGACTCCTGTAACTCAAATAATAATAAAGATGATAATAATAAAACTATCACCACCACTACCACCAACAAAAAAATACAAGTGCGGCAAAGTAAGGTTTTAGCATCTACCCAGTCTTCCTTCTGCTCCCTGCCATCCTGGCTGCCAGGAGCAGAAAGGGCTTTGCAAGGAACCTGGAGAATAAAATCAAGGCCAAAAAAAAAAAGATATTTTATTTTAAAAACAGGTTTGCAGGTGTTTTTTTTTTTCTTTTTGCATTCAGTATGTTTTCAGTCAGACATCACAATACTATATACAGATACACAACATTTTTTGTTGTTGTTAAAAAAGAAGAGCCTGTTTCTGATGGACGTTTCCAAAGAACACTGTTTCGTAATGTGCCAGTGGGAAGGGAACAGGTGCAGGACCCTCTCCCCTTGGCAGGCAGGGCAGGCATTGAGGTGGCCTTGGGGAGGCAGCAGCTTTACTGAATCGGTTGATGGCATGCCGGTTGTGCTGGCCTCCTGGACTAGCTCCTCTAGCTTTCCTGGGTGAATCAAAGCGAAACTGGGAGGCCTAGCGGTGGCCTGTACCAGCAAGGCAGAGAGGGACTCTACTGGGGGAACCCATTCTCCATCCCTCTGGAAGAGAAGTTTGTTCCCAGGAAGAAGTTCTGCGGTTGTGCCTGACTTTCCCTGCCAGCTCATCGCCAGGGAGGAGGGACCCCTGCCTAGGGGCCATCAGGGTTTTTTGTCCTCCTTAGATTTTTCCCCTCAAAGATTCAGACCTCCCTCAGGAGGCGGAAATAGGGGAGGCAGTGTAAGGGGGCCAGGGCAGCTGTTGAGAAATCCCCTGTGTTGGTTGGAATGAAAGGGCAAAAGCTCCTGTGGACCTAGGCCCACAAAGAAAGAAAACCTACCCAGCGGGCTCGGAGCACTGCTCCCAGACCACCTGCTAAGGATCATCCATCTCAATGAAACTCTCAAAATATGCACAGAAAAATCAGAATGGGAAATCGTGCTAAGAAGTGCGGAACAGACTGGGATGAGAGAGGACCTGCATGGTTAGTGCGTCAGCTCGAGGGTCTTGAGGAGCCACACCCTAGAAGGAGGCAAAGAGGGGGTCCCCCCACCTAGCCCTGCTTCTGGTGCAACGGTTGGGCTCTCATCTGCTACTGGCTCTCCGGCTTTCAGTGGAGTGAATGGACGACGTGGGAGAAACGGCGAAGTAGTGCCTCGCACAGGCGCTCCGACCCACCTCCGGAGCCTCTGAGGCCTGGGTGGCTCTCTCCGCGCACCTCTTGGTAGAGGTGGGATGCGTCGCAGGGGTGCCTCGCCTCACAGCTCAGTTCCTTTTCCTGATTAACATTAAATATTCAAGTCGGCACCGGGCGGCACGGTGTCCTTCGGTGGATTGGGTTATTGTACAAAGCGGTGACATAAATAAATGGGGCGGGCAGCCTGGAGGGCGGTCAGGTGGAGTGGAGGTGAGGTGCTTTTGATTTGCTGACCACCTTCTTCTCTTTGACCCGTCGATTCTGGAACCAGATGGTGACCTGGCGCTCGGAGAGGTTCGTGGTGGCAGAGATGCGCCGGCGCTTCTCTTTTGTGATGAACTTGCTAGCCGCGTACTCCTTCTCCAGCTCCTTCAGCTGCACCTTGGTGTAGGGCACGCGCTTCTTGCGCCCGCGCCGGTAGCTGCTCACCTCGGGCTGCAGGGGAACCACGTCTGCGGGAGGAGAGAAGGAGAGAGAAGATGGTGGGGTGGACGTAAGGGAAGCGGGCTGCGGCGGGGCACCGGCCTCACTACCCGACTGACGGATTGACGGACCGCGCGGTCTCTGACATGCAGGCAATTAAAGAGGGGCCGGTGGATCTAACTCTGAGCCTGGTCAAGCTTGCTCGTCTTGTCACTTCTGATATTAGCAAGGTCTCTCGACTAGGGTGAGGCCACAGGAATATTGTGAGGGTACTAAAAATTTAGGAACCAAGTGAATGCAGTGTGTGTGTGTGTGTGAGAGAGAGAGAGAGAGAGAGAGAGAGAGGGAGAGAGAGAGAGAGGGAGAGAGAGAGAGAGAGAAATAATTTAAAATTCCATGCTGAAAAAAAACAAGTCTTTCCCAAATGAACACAGGATCAGTACAACAAATTTTCCCTTTGATTCAGGCTCTGCACAGCATCCCTTCCCTGAACAATTGCAGGGTTCCCCCAACCCAAATGGAAACCTCTGGTCTGGATTTGGTCTACCAAATATTCAGAAAATCATTCTTCCTTGTACTTAGGTCTTCTGATAATCATTTTGGTTTACACTGTCCCTTGGTCAGGAGAAGACATTCTGTTTTACAGAGAAGAGGGAGAGGATGTAGCAGGCAGGGGTCAGCTTCAGGGGCGCACAGACCACCAAGTGGGTCCGCCTGCCCTGGGACACTGGTCCGCATCAGCGATTTTAGGTAAAGAGATGGATAAAGAGAGGAGGAAAGTGTCTGGTGGTGCTGCCAAACAACTCTAGGAATTGGGGTTCTATGTCATTGTGAACTGTCAGAGAGAGAGAGAGAGATGGTCCTGAAGACATAAGAAATCAGGTTCCTGAAGTAAAGGGGTATGCCCCCCCCCCGCAAAAAAAAAAACCAAAAAACAAAAACAAAAACCAGAGCATATTCTTCCCATTCCATCCCTTTCTGGCTTCCAGAAATTAGCTGTATTCCATGCACCAAGCCTAACCCTAAACCTTAAACCCCTCGACGTCTCCACCAAAGCCAGTTCAGATTCTATAGGCTCTGAAAACTCCACAGGGACTAAAAACAACAGATATCACAGTGTCCCTATCCACTGCAGATCCTAGCCAGGATCCTCCCCAGGCCAGTGAGAATCAGGGAGAACCTGATTCTGAATCTGATTCAACTAGTGTTCAGTTCCACCCCAGGTAACTGTTAGCCGGCTTCAGGGGGAAGCAGATGTGGAGGACTGGCTACGGTGGCTTCCCCTTTGGCTTTACTGCCTGGGGACTGCAGACCCAGGCCAGAATGGACATCCCTCCCCTAAACATATCTCCATCGGGTTGGCTCTCTCCCAGAGATCTTGTCTACACAGAGTCACATTCCATTGAGGTAGGGGACAAAGAAAGGACTCAGGAAGAAAATGGGAAAGGGATCCCTTTGGTCTTCTTGTGTTGAGTTTCTCTGGGCCAATGGCCATTCCCGCTCTTTTCCTCTGCCTCCACATACATAGGGCAGGGTGGTTAGATCCGAAACATGAAATAACTTCCCTTGAACAGACAGATTAACTTCCTTTGAACAGAGCTTTGAAAGTTAAGAAGCTTTTTCTTACCAGATAATTTAAAAAACTCTCAGAGTTGGGATTTTTTTTTTTTACAGATGGAACCGGGATTCGAGAAATCCGGGATCCAAAGGCAAGAATGAAATGAAAAGAATTAGCAGTGATCCCGTGAATTGGCTTTAAAGCTTCAGAATATTTCTTCCAGGCTGACTTGATGCAACCTATTGTATGCAATTAGAACTCTGGAGGCTCAGCATGGGTAAAATTATTTGAAGAGCAAAACCAGGTCTTAAACCCTGACTTTTTCAGACTCTGAACAATCCAGTAAGTTGTAATGGGAAAACGACCACCTAGTCCCACTCAGCTTCAAAACATCTCCTTGTCCCTGGACAGGGAAGGGAGGAAGCGGAGGGTTTTAATTTCTGATTGAACTAGATAATAATCTCTGGTTTTCAACCTCCCTCTCCAAAAACTCTAGTAATTACTCACCTAATTTTGGATCTTGAAATTCCAATGAGATTTCATCAACATAACCCGTAAAAAGATCAGCTCAAAAAAATGGACAACTGGCCCAAACTGCTTCTGTTTTTGTCTAGGATGTCCAGGCTTGATCTGATGAGGTGTGTTTTTTTTTCCCCCTCTCCCCATGAATCAGGCCAAGCTCCGGGGGAGGGTGGACAGTTCTGGCTGGAAGAATTCGGATAGTTCCGAAGCTGCCCCCCTGGCATAGTCTATTGCCTTTCTGGGAAGAAAGTGGACATCTACAGATGTGGAAACATCTGGTAACTGACGCATCAACATTGCCTGAAGTGAACAGGGACTAGGAATTCTAAGACGTCTTCCCCAGGCAATCTCTGGGTCACACAGACACAAGACCCCCTTTGCCACACCTAGGAGCCTAATATTTACCTCTAAGAAGCTAAAGAGCAAGGACAGATCAGATCAGTGCTTTCTGTGTGCAGGTTCCCAGAGCTCCCGCCTACCCCTGGCCCAGCCCAGCCTCTTCCAACAGTCCAAGTCTCTCAGTCCAGCTAGAAAAACCAGGCTCCCCGTTCCTCTCAACCCAAACCCAAAGGCTTTCAGTAGGGATTTCCAATGCTAGGGGGTGGCAGAATCCTTGATTTCTTCCTCTCTTAACCCCATCTCCTTCCAAACTCCCTCCTAGAACTTCTGCTTCTCTCCTAAAAAAAAAAAAAAAAAAAGTCTACACTCACAGACTCACAGGATGAAGAAAAAACAAAAACAAAAATAAAAACAAAACAAACAACCCAAAGCCATGAAGCAAGGGTCTGTATAATTGGGAGAAAGAAGAAGCCACAACACATCTCAGCCCTAATTATCTGGATCTTTATGAACAATTGCCTCCATCTCCCAACACCAGCCCAGACTGCTGGAGACGAGGTTTCTCAGAGCCAGAGGCAGTGAAGAGAGACAGTGATGTTTATGCCTAGATGTTGCTGAACAAACCACAATTGCATAGACAGAGTTATCTGGCAATCTCACGACTTCTAAAAAGATCTCTGTGTGGGTAGAAAGACCAGGGTGTCTGAGGCTGATTTCTTTTTCATCTGCCTCCTGGCCTGGACCTCTGCACTCACCAACACACACGCCATTCTGTTTCCAGCCAGCTCTTTACTATACATTCTACACCGTCTGCAAGCGCATTACATCTCCATTGGATTAGGTCTACAGAGGTCTTTTATCTCCAAGATCGTTTTCTCTAGGAGGCTAGGGTCAAAACTGCTTACTTTTGGCAGGGGGTATTTTTTTGTTTGTTTGTTTTTTCCTTTCTGGGGGTCTTTGAGACACTTTATTAGCTCTGATACTTCAGAGCTTTTGTCCGAGCCTTCCTCCCACCCTACTCGCCACATAGTCACATTCACAGGGGAGTGACAGCTGTTCTCCTTCCACCTCCTCACCCTACACCCTGGATCACTGCTGCAGGCTTGTGCCCTCACCCACAGTGGGAGCTGGTGGGCACCGGCTCCTCACCCCTTGACATGACCCAATGGCTCTAGCGCTTCAAAATGCCTAATACCTCCAAATACCTCCAAATACCCAAGAGAACTAAAGGTAACAGAGAATTAAAGGGTCGTCTCTCCATCAACACTGTGTGTCTACATGTGAACCACCAATCTCCTAGACATATGATGATGTGTTTCATATGCAGTAGATAATAAAAGAAACCATATTCTCTAAAAACATAATAGGCAATGCAACCAACATAGATGATACATTACATCAGTATAGTAAAATCTACAATCTTTAATTCTGGCCACCAGAAATGGGGAGCCTAGTGTGTGTTCCATCCTGTGTTGGGTTATATTACACTCAGGAACCCCGTAATATTTTCAGGAATGCAATTTGCAACCTTCTCTAATATCACCCTGGATTTTTTTTCCCCCATCGATCTCCCCATTCCCAATCCCAGACACAGAGAAACATCAGGCCCACCCTTAGAAAGGTGTTTGGTCAATGTTTTCCGGTAATAACATTTCTTGGTTGGGCATGGAAACTCCCAGGAGGGAGGGTGATTCTTTGGGTTATATGCAGAGATACCCACTGTGGGTGAGTTCCGGAACCCTGCAGCCATCTGAAAGGAGGACTGATTCTTAGCCACAAAGCCCTGTTTTCAGGGGGCAGGTCCCCTAGACCCCAGGGCCTCACCTGGCACCAGGGAAGGAGGTTGGAGGGGGAGCTGATGACCTGTCTGGGGGATTTGGTGACCCCTCTTCTTCACCTGGGGAATGGTAGCAGTGACAGGGGTTTTTCCCTTTTTGGACTAGAGCCACACCCCTCCAGCCAAGCTTCACCAAGTGGGGGCTTACACCCAGGTTCCCCAGGTCAGGTCTCCCACACAGCCTCACCACCACCACCAACACCCGCCACACACTTTTCTGTGTGTGGCTCACCAGCTCTCTCTCTACCACACTTGGGGAAACTTGACAGTGGAACCCTCTAAGGTGTCTGAGCTCAGTATATATACCAGAGGCCAAGAAAATTCATGTCCTGGCAGAGGAGGCTCCCCCCCCCCCCGCGCCCCGTTTTCCCCATTCCCTCTCCAGAGATTTCAGCTCTTCTCTCAGCAATCAAGACATTCGTGGCCAAATTTTAAAAATGAATCAAGGGTTAGGTAGGGCGGGGCGGGGGTTGGGGAGGAAACTTACATTTTTTTCTAAATTCCTCAAATCAGACGTCCTACTTTAAAAAATACTATTTAGTGCCTGAATGATCCTGAAAATTTGGACAGAGAAATGTGAAGTTTTTTTTCTTCCCTCTCAATTATTCGATGGGTTGAGGACTTTCTCCTACTTATTTGGGCACCATCGGCCGATCCCACCCCCATCCCTGTCCGGAAACCGGTTCCAAGGGCAGAAACCTAGCGCCAGGATGCAGCCGGAGAGGGAGAGGAGGCGGCGAGCTCCTGAGCCGAGCCGAGCTGAGCCGAGCCGAGCCGAGTCGAGCCGGCAGCCCGGCGATCGGGCGCCTGTGATTGCTTCACACGGCCGAGCAGCTCCAGGGAACGTGTCGGAGCAGATTTCTTTCCCGGCGCATTCCTAGCGCAGCTCGCCCGGCCGGCTCCATCGGCAGCCCAGCCGAGCCGGCGCGCCGGGGCCAGACGGCGGGGGTGGCTGGGGCGCGCGGAGCCCCGGGGCAGGCAAGGGCGGGGAGGGGTCCCTGGCGGCTGCAGGAGATCGGGCTCCTGCCTTACCTGGGAAGGGAGACTTCCAAAGGTGGGCGGACTGCGACTGCTCCTTGGAGCAATACACCTGACTGTCCCAGCCATTGGAGAGAGCCCAGTGCTGGTAGCCTTCGACGGGGATGAGCGCGTCGTGACGCGGCTCTGGGTGCCCGCTGATCCCTGGCACCACCGACACGTCCAGGTAGCCGGGCATCGCCTGGTAGGAGCTAGCGAAGCTGGGGTAGAAGGCGAACTCCTTGGCCCTGGAGGACAGGTCGTCGGCGGGCAGGGCGCCCGACGGCTCCGGGTACTTCTCACCCGGGTGGTAGGCGCAAGGCTTCTGCTGCAGGTTTACGTTGTGCGACAGGCGGCAGCCGTAGTAGCTGCCCCCGAACGGGTAACCGTAGCCCAGGGTGGCGCTGGACGAGGTGGGGGGCGCCGGTGGAGGGGCGCACTGGCGCGCTGCCTCGGGGGTTGGGATGTCCGTGTAGACGGCGCCCTGCGGGGCGCCCAGAGGAGCCGGCGGGCGGCCCAGCACGGGGTGCGGAAGCAGGTCGCGGCAGTGGCTGGCCGGGCAGCTGCTGCCCAGACCGTCCATGCTTGGGGCTTTGCCGGGGCTCGCTCCGCTGCAGCCGCCCCCCGAGCCGCCCGCGCCGCCGCCTCCAGCGCCGCCGCCGCTGCCGCTCTCCGCCGCGCTGTCCTCATAGACGTACATAAGGCTTTCCGGCCAGCGCGGATGCAGGAGCAGCGAAGTCGTCATGACATGATCCGCCCGAGCTTTTTAAAAACTCCACTTGCCAGAGGCAGCGAGCTCAGGAGACACCTCGCTCCTTTTTCCCTCCCCCGCCCTCCTCCCTCTCCTCCCTTCTTCTCCCCTCCCCTCTGCCAGCTCCTCCTGGTGCTTCCACCTCCCTGCGAGAGCTCCCTTTACGCATGCGGAGGCACTTCATTAAGAAATCCTCCGGCTCCGGCCCTCCTCCCCTCCGCGCCCCTCCGGCGCCCACGTGATGCGGTCCCCCACACGTGACGCCCAGCCCTGTTCTCCTGGGGTGTCCTCCCCCAGGACGGAAGGCGGAGTGTGGGGAAGGAGGGCTGAGCTCATTGGCTTTCCGGAGGGGCAGAGGAGGAGGGCGCTGCGAGATTTAAAGGGACAGGGTGACGCCCCCTCCCCCGCCCCCTCCGCAAGACCCGGGGAGGGAGAGGAGAGACGGGGAGGGGAGGATGCTGAATTTCTTGGACGCAAAGGAGTCCAGGAGGAGGAAGGGAGGACTGCGCCTGTGCGCCTCGCCCTCTGGTCAGGACGTGCGTTTTGGGGAGATAGACCTGTACCCCCAAAGCCATCGCTTGGGCTGGAATGGGTCTGATTGGGGTTTGGATTTTTTTTTTAAGTGATAATAACAAAGAGACTGAAAAACAGGCTCACTGATCTAGGCGGACTCCTCTGCAGCTCGCGGCTGGAAGGAGCCCGACGCCGCGCGGGGAACCTTATGTACCTGCTGGAAGATTGTGTTATCCTAGCGACCTTCATCCTTATGCCCAAAGCCCCACTTGTTCAAAAAGAATCCTCTCTTCCTGCAGTGGAAAGGGCTGGGGAGATGAGAGAGGATACTGCCTTGGCCACGCGGGGGGTTGGGGGGGAGAAGTGTGGTGGTGGTGAAACAGGGAATGAAAGGGACATGGAATACATGGATGTTTCTATATGCAACAGAAACACAAGTGTGGAAGTGAGATTTTCCAAGGAGGGGGTGGGCAAGGGTATTGCCTAGCAAAGCCAGAAGCCCGGGACGAGCACTGGGTTGCTCCCTGGCGTATTGGTATGCAAAGAGAGCCGTGGAGGATGAGGCGTTGGGGGAAGTAGGCGCTTCTCCAATGAAGAGCCTCTTCCAGGCGCAACCGCAGCCCCGCGGGCCTCGGCGGCCAGGGCAGCTCGCGCCTGGGGAGGGCCGAGAAGCAGAGTCGGAGATGAAAGCGTTGCTCAGTTCAACAACGTGCTTTGGTGGGGTCGCTCCCCTTCCGTGCACGCAGTGTGTTTACGCTCTAAAACGTGAACTCCTGGTTTACTGCATCCATTCCTTCCTCCTGGTCTCCCAACTAGCTCGGATCCTCAACAGAGTCGGGAGCTGGTGGAAGATATATACCTTGTGGAACTGGCGGGGTTGGCTCTCAGCACACGCCTGTGGTGGCCTTGGCCAGAAGAAGGGACAGAAGCATCAGGGACTAGGGCCACCACAGCTCGCTGTCCTGCCCCAGCCACAGGTTCTAAATGCTGGAGGCTCTCACTGGTTCAGGCGGCTTCGCAGACTCCGACTCCCCAAGTCCCTCAAGCCCCAGGGGTGGCTTTCCCGGCTGGCTCCCCTCGCTACTGGTAGGGCTAGGGTGTTGTTGGATACTGGGTGGCCAACGTCCACCGCGTGCACCAGGAGTACAAACGTCATTCTTATCTGTGGAAACTTCATCCCAAAGAATCCGCTCCGAGTTCAGAAAACAGGCGGTGGTGGGCTGGGGCCGCTGGAGGGAGGGGCACACAATACCTCCGGAAAGAATTGGAAACAAGCTGGTCAGCTCGAGTGTGTTGAGGGCCCAGGCGCGCTGCGCTGGAGCTGAAAGCCGGCTGGCCAGCGGCCGCTGGAGTCCAAGGTCAAGGTAAAAGGGGGGTGGGGAAGGATGGCCTGGTCCAGTTAGACTGAATTGTGTGGCCTTGGCCCCTTTGGCTAAGGCCTTGGTGAGTGGTGGGGGACGGGAGTGAGAGGTTTGTCAGTGTTCAGCCTGGCTTCATGGTGGTCGCACAGGTTGGGAAGCCAAGTGTGTGTTTTGGGAGGCGGATTGCAGAGGACAAGGACGTGGTTATGAGGGATGGTGCAGAGGAACAAAGGGTCTTAAACCTTTACCCCATCCCTGCCCCACCCCTGACCAGCACGCAGTGTGCGGGCCAGGATTGGAGCCTTTGGGAACAGGGGCAGGGTATCTGCACGAAGAATCTGGGTACTGGAGGCTCGGCCGTAAATGAAATTAATGGTATTGTTCCTTGCCAGTTTATATAAGGATGTTAACTCTTCCTATTGCAATGAGATATAGATTTAATTAACCCGACAACTTTACAATTCCATTTATTAGGGGCACTGTGCGGCCAAAACGCAGCGGTGAAAGGGCCGAAAAGCAACCCAAGCCCCCTGCCTCAGGAAGATCAGCAGAAGATGGAGCCCCCCACCCCCCATGTTCCGGGGACGGTGGAGAAGCTGGAGAGTAAAGTGCCGGGGTAAGCGAGGCTAAAAGCTGCGGCGTCTTTCTCATGCTCAGACCGAATCCCACCTTCTTTTTCCGCTGGGTTCCCGAAGACTCTTCCAGCGCCAGTCAACTGCAGCCTGCACGACAGGGGAGCGCGAGCGAGGCGCGGATCAAGAGCCTGAGGGAGGGCACAGGGGCAGGAAAGCAGGCTTGGTTAATCAACTTAAAACCCAAAGTCACTTCTTTCTCCGCTGCACCTCTCCCTCGAAAAAAAAAAAAAGTGGATCTCGCTGAGACACAAATAAAATCAAATTAAACACTCCAGGAGAATGCTCACCAGTGGAAACATAGTAATTACACCTCCGATGTGAGCCCGCCCTAGAAAATCGGGCGCTGGAACCCTGGGCGCCCACAGCCAGCGGCGCTCACCCCCACCGCTCCAACATCGCCGCCGCCAGGCCTGATTTGGGGAAGGGGGCCCTGAGATTTGGCTTCTGGATTCAGTTCAGAGAAAACCAGCAGGAACGAAAAGGAATGTGGTTCCTGGGCTGCTGTTCCTTGTAGGGAGGAAGAGTGAGCATTGAGGGATACCCAGGAAAAAAATGACCCTTCGGCCTCGTTCTCCTCCCAGAACCCTGGCTCTGCCTTGCGCGCCTTTTCAAATAGCCACTCGGTCGCGTCCTCTGCTCGCTCCTTGTTCCGCATTTTCTGGCTCTGTGCAGCCGGGGAATGCTTCCTTTCAAAGATTCCCAGGTATCCAGGTTGTCTTGTACGTGCCTTTCCCTGGCAGTGTGCGTGCAGGCAGGCCTGTCTGTGGACTTGAGGATGGGCACAGGCTGCAGCACATGGCCCTTCCGATTTGGCCCAAATGTGTGAGCGTAGGGATGCAGGATCCCTCAGCTAGAATCCTCAATCCCTGCATAAAGATCACCAGCGCAGTTCATTTCCATGCCCTCCTTACTCTCCATTACAAAGACAACCCTCAGGAAAATGCCAGGAAAATCAAGAGGCAAGGGCGGGTGGGTTTCTCAAGTTGAGGGGGTGGAATGTCAAGTCAAAGGTGCAACTTTGTAGCAGAAGCTTGGAGCCGCTGGCACATACCAAAGAGAGGGCTGCACGTAGCTTTGGCTAGACGGGGTGTGGGTGTCCCCTGGACAGCTCAGCTGTTCTCCCCTGGAAATTAGGGGTGTTTCCTTTCCTTTTCTCTCTTGATTAAGTTTCGTCCATATTCTCCAGGAAAGAGGGGCATGAAGAAAGAGCTAAAACTCTAAAGCTCCAGCCCATCCCCTTTTTTACGGGAGAAATTCCAGTTTAAAAAGAGGAGGGGGTGTGTTGAAACTGTTGGAGAACAAAGAGCTTCCCAGCCACGAGGTCTGGACTCTGGCCCAGATTTGGGGCCTTTCTTGTAGGGTAGGCAGAGTTTGAGTGGGGAGTTTTTCCAGTCCAGGATCCCTAACTGTGGGTTGGAAGGGTAGTTATAAGGGCATAGGGGTGCAGAAGACCCAAGCTGCCCAGGGGGCAAAAAGGGTGTTGGAGATGCAGAGGCCGTTCACAGGAAGGGGTACTTGAGGGATTCCTGTAGTGGGGTGTGTCTGAGAGCAGAAACCCTCCCACCAAAGGCAAAGCCTGGTGATATTGGTGGGGAAGGCAAAACAGCTCCGGCTCCATAGCAGGGGTCCCTGAACCCATGTCCCACCTTCCTTTTTCCCCTTCCAATTCTCTTGGATCCTTCTGGAATCTATCCACACATCTACATCAGAGAAAGGTCACCAGTCTCTTCTCCCAGCCTGGGAATTCAGCTCCTGGAGGGATGGGACAGCAGCTACTGCCCTGGCATCTCCTGCCTTTAGTGTTCCCCCTCGCTGGAGGGCAGATGGCAGAGCCTTTGCTGTGCTCCTTGTTGGGAAGTTTTGTGGTCTCCAATTGCAACTTTCCCACCCTCCAGGCTCCACCCTTTTCTCTTCCCTTGGGTACCTGTTAGATACTATGGCAATATTCTGTTGCCTAGTCTGTGGTGGCTTGCAGTGTCCTTGAAGGTTTTGGGGACCACCCCAGACTGCTCCCCTCTGGCAGAGCAGGGATCCAAATGAAAGCCTGGATCTAGGCTCTAGTCGTTGTCTTTGCCCAGGTCTAGCCTGGCCCCCAGAGCTAACTGTGCCTGGTGAGGTACTGGCTTGGGCAAGGCAGTCATGGAAGAGTCAGGGAGCCACTGAAGGCCACCAGCATCCTCACTTTCTTCCACAATTCCTCTACCTGGCCAGCCCCATCAAGTGCCTCCTGGAGCCCCTGCATCAACTCTTTAACTAGTCTTTCCCAATCCTCTCTAATCTACACAGCTCCCAGCCCTTTTCTTTTGAGGTGGCTTCTCAGTCATCACTCTATCCCTCCATACTTTTCTGCTTCCTCATCCATTGACAAAGTCCCGGGAATACACAGAGTTAAGAAATTAGCAAAGAATCTCCTTTCTCTCCCTCCTCCCCAGAGTCCCCACCCTGTCCTCTGCCCCCCCCCCCCCCGCAAGCAAAGGGCCCTCCTTCCCCCCCATCCCCTCCCCCTTTGAGGAAGCTCTTCAGAAACAGACAAATAAAATCTCTCTGGGTTTTAGGGCCTGTCTGAGAGGGAAGGCCAAGTTCATTTTCAAGTTAGACAAG